GATGATTCCACATGCTCTACCAGATATTTATGCCCATTTCTGAAAGAGCTCACAGTTGGGAAGCTGAAGTCAGTTATGAAAATCACCCAGTCTGAATATACTACACTTAAACTTGGCCATAATAAACTAGAAAGGAAATGAAGAGGAGGAGGAGGCACCCTGTAAGAGACTTGGTGTTACTCCATGACAGCTCAGAAATGGAATTCCTGGTGGAAATTTCACTAGGTGGCTTTGGTGAAGTTCTTCATTTCAGCAGTAAATATAACACCCTATCTGCAGCACTGCCAAGAGGGCCCCACCCAAGGGTGGAAGGGCCATCACTGATCCTTCTTGTTCTGCTTCTCAGAAGTGAGGGGTGCCAGGTGCGGTGGCTCACACCTGTAATCCCAGCACTTTGGGAGGCCGAGGTAGGCAGATCAGCAGAGGTCAGGAGTTCGAGACCAACCTGACCAACATGGAGAAACCCCGTCTCTACAAAAAAAATACAAAATTAGCTGGGTGTGATGACGTGCGCCTATAATCTCAGGTACTCAGGAGGCTGAGGCAGAAGTATCACTTGAACCAGGGAGGTGGAGGTTGCAGTGAGCCAAGATCATGCCATTGTACTCCAGCCTGCGCAATAAGAGTGAAACTCTCTACCCTCCCCCCCCGCAAAAAAAAAAAAAAAAAAAAAGAAGTGAGGGGCAACTCGTCAAGACAGGGGAAGGAGTTCTTTAGATAGCTGGCTAGGTGGCTGTATTATGAAAGTAATGATCCTATTTTAAGGGCAGAAGGACACTGTAATTTTGTTTTTGTGGTTGATCTAACCTAGATCCTGCTGAAATCAATTTTATCCTGGTCTATACAAAGCAGGCATAAAGACACTGGTGAACTTACATTACATTTTTACAGGATGATGATATGGTTTGGCTCTGTGTCCCCACCCAAATCTGGTGTGGAATTTTATTCCCCATGTGACAGGGGAGGGACCTGGTGGGAGGTGTTTGGACCATGGGGGCAGTTTCCCCCATGCTGTTCTTGTGATAGTGAGGGAGTTCTCACAAGATCTGACAGTTTAAAAGTGTGGCCCTTCCCACCTTGTTCTCTCTTTCCTGCTGCCAAGTAAGACATGCCTTGTTTCCCCTTCCACCATGATTGTGCTTCCTGAGGCTTCCCAGGCATGCAGAACTGTGAGTCTATTAAACTTCTTTTCTTTATAAATTACCCAGTCTCAGGCAGTTCTTTATAGCACTGTGAAAATGGACTAATATATATGATGTCAATAATCTTGTAGGTTAGTACCCTTTCTGTATCAGAATTGGCAATGAGTTGTGCTTAGTTCCTAAATTCCATCTCTCCAAAAGGAAGACCATGAATAATAACTGAAAAAGCACAGCATTGAGACTCAGATAACTCTGGGTTCGAGTCTCAATACTATGCTACCCAGTACCTTTGAACATGTTACTTGGTCCCTTAGAGGGGACTTATCTCCCTCATATCCCTTCTTGTCTGCATTTTCAGAGGCTCAGTGTTCTTGTCTTAAAATGGGGACAAGAATATCTTCTTGGCAGTGATGTTGTAATGATTCAGTGAGATAATATGTGAGCCCAATAAATGGTACCATCCAGACTCTTAATAACAAGGCTGCGTATCTGTAACAGGCCTAACTACTCCTTGAACCTTAACAGGGCATCTCCATAAGCTGGACCCAGGAGGCCAAAATACAATGCTGTAGGAGACCCAGGTCAAACAACAATGTCAGGGCCACCTGGATGGAGCAAGATGGTGGCTCCTGAAGTTAGAGAGCTGTCAGGGCTGGCCGGGGAACAGATGTAGCAATGGACTGCCAGTGGTTTGCTTAATTCCCCTCCTCCAGCAGCTGTAGGCTTGGGCTGCTGAGGCTTTTGCCAGGAGTTGCAGGCTGAGGCTCAAGACAGAGAGTTCAGGACAGCCTTGTCCACTTTTGGAATTTGGGTATTAGCTAATAGAGCTCTCTGGCTGTCCCATTCAGCATTTGTGAAATCTCCTCTTCCTAGTCCCAGGGCAGACAAGGACATTCTGGGCAGAAAGAAACCATCAGTGTGCATAGGAAGAACAGCAGCTTCTTAATCAGTCCAGGGGACAGAGCCTAAGCTAGAGCGTTGTTCTGCTCTCATTTAATTATCAAAATGATTCCTCTTGTTCTGTCCTCCCTAGGGCTGCATGCCCCAGATTCCCTGGGCCCAGTAATTGCCTCTCTGTTAATAGAAATCATCAGTATTTATTACACCTAGTGTGCCATCTTATTTCGGCTCTTCTTGTAGCAGCATTAAGGGGAGTGCTTGATAGCATATCACTTAGTGACAAGAGTAAAGGCCTCTGAACTGTTCTCTTTGCTGGGAGGGCTGAGGAATCATGGGCAGAGCCTAATGAGAGAGGCTGAGGGGCTGTGTGGGGTCTGCAATAGGGCCCTGACATGGCCCTGGGTGAGGAACAGGCACAGGGCTCAGCAACAAGGGACCTGAAACCCAATGAGATGAGCACTCCCACCTTCTCCCCAGCAGAAGTCCCCTGGGGATTTCTGTTCTTCTATAGGGTACATAACAATAGGTAGTGACTTGAGTTCAAATTCTTGCTTTACTGCTCAGGGCTTATGAACTTTGGCCTCTTGGAATGCCAGTCTTCTTATCTATAAAACAGGGTGAATAACATCTACCGCCCAGGGCTTGGTGTGAGGCTCAAATGAAAAAAATAATGTGAAAAGACTCTACTGGGCCTGCCATAGGAGGCATGCCACAAACAACTCTTCTTCCCTTCCTATCCCCCTCTTTCTTTTCAGGAGTTGATGCTGTGGGGTTGAGATGACATGACATATGTGACTGGGCCACAACAGTGCCTGGTATGCATGCTGGTTCCTCCGTGCAGCCTCTTCAGCTTCTCTGTGTCCAGTGATAGACAAACTCATCCAAGACAAGGCTGAGACAGGGGCCTCACAGTCCTGGAGTGTACATGGATTTGGGCTCTAGACCAGGATGGCTGCCACTATAGCTTCCAGACTCCCATGGGCAATGGTGGAGAATCCCTTTCTCCCCTCTAGTCAGCGTAGTGCTCTGGCTTGCTGTCTGCCCACCTCTGTGTGCTTTCAACCCCGCCCAGGGACCCATCTCTGAAGAGGTGTGTGCTATGTGTGGCCTCAAGGAGACTGGGCAGGTTTGGGGTCAAATGCAGAAGTAACCCAGCCCCTTCTGATGACCATATCTTCAGGCAGCTGTCTTTAATGACTTGGAGTGACTCAGCAGTTCAGGAAGCACACTTATTGAACACATACTATGTACTTTCAAGTGAGGCTTGGGGAAGCTTCCAAAGGCCCCAGTAAATAGGAGATGGGAACTGGAACCCAGGGTCAGCTTATCCAAAGCTCTCTTCACTCCTGTGAGGGTGCCCTGCTAACAGTGACTGAGAAATTTATGGAGGGGTTTAAACTACATCTGCTACACGGAGGGCATTGTTTAGGAAGTTTTTGCTAATGTGTAAATATCCACATGTCGATTCTCTGGTATAACAGGCATGAGTGTGTTTTCTAACAGTGTGGCCCTAAGAACACAGGGGTTACTTTGCAGCAGGCTGTGCTAGTAGATGGGGAACTGTGGGGTAGATAAGATGACCAAGGTTTCTGAATGTCAGGATGTTCTCAAGGTTCACAACTCCTAGGCAGGAACAAATCACCATCATTTCTTCAAGGGGCCAAAGGACACACTGCTTTGTTCCTATGGCACTGTGCTCGTTCGTTCCCATTAGTTATGGGCTATATTGTGTCCTCAAAAATTCATATGTTGACATCTTAACCTCCAGCACCTCAGAATATGACCTTCTTTGGAGACAGGATCTTTAAAGAGGTAATTAAGTTAAACTGAGGTCATTGGGGTGGGCCCTAATCCAATAGGACTAGTGTCTTTGGAGAAATCTGGACAGAGACATGTACAGAGGGAAGACAGCGTGAAGATACAGGCAGATGACAGCCATCCACAACCCAGGAGAGGGGCCTGCAAAAGATCCTTCTCTCAAAGCCCACAGGAGAAACCAACCTTGCCAACACCACATCTCAGACCTGCAGCCTCTAGAACTGTGAGACAATAAACTTCTGTTCTTTAAGCCACCTAGTCTATGATACATGTTACAGCAGCCCTAGGAAACTAACACACTGTTCTTTTAATTTTTGCTTGAAACTTAGTGTCCCCTCTCTGGTTAGGAAGAAAAGGTTGATGCCTTCCTGTTCCTGGCTGATATTGTTTCCTTCAGATCAGCTTGACAGCTGGTTTTACTGGTGATACTGGACCCACTCCAGTAATGGAAAGAGAGAGGCAGAAATGTGGAGAAACTGAGGTAGAGACCAGCAGTGTCAAAGCAACAGGGACAGGAGGTGATGCGAAGGGCCACAGCTGCAGAGAGAGGCAGGAAGGGGCCATGGGTCTGCACAGGCCTCGGCAGTGACTGGCTGCCTGCGCTCATCTCCAGAATGCTAGACACACATGAGTAATTACAGAGGTTTTCTCTGGGCAGCCTCCCCGGCTGCTTCCTGTCTACCCCTCACAGGCGCGTAATGGAATTAAATGTGACTCCGCTGCAGTTCCGTGCAGTGACTTATGCCACTGCAGTCAATAAAAGCTACTCTTGGAAAAAAAGTAGATTACAGGTCAGGAAAGGATGGGCAGTTGCTGAGCTGCCTCTGATTGTTCCCTGTGGGGGGGCTTCAACATCCCTCCTCTTTTCATTTCTACCAAATTACCCATTGCAGGCCCTAGATCTGGATTTGTTATTTAGATTGACTTTGCCTCGGTTCCTGTGACATTGATGTGGCACTACAAAATTATGCAGCATGGGATCCGGAGTTTTCCAGAGGAGGCATTTTCTCTGGCATCTCACTGAAAGTGCCAGCCATGCAGATGTTGAAGGGGGCTTCTAGGCACAGGCATGTGGGCCCTTCCTCCTGATGCCTTCTAGAGGAGGAAAGGTCAGCGCAGTCTCTAACCAGGGGGTCTTACCTTACATGGGTGAGGATCCACTCCATATGTTTCCAATGTCTGTGCTTTTCTTAAGAAGTTCAGCTCTGATGTTGCTGGTGTTTGACCACTGGAATAAACAAAATGAGATGATTTCTAGGTGTCCTGTTCTCACAGGTTCCCCTGAGATAAACTCTCTATGAAAACGTGCTCAAGGTGAGCCACATATCTCAATTTTTGTAGGGTGTGCTCCCTGCTTGGTTCTAGGACCAATTTCAGAGACTCCTACTAGAGTCTCTGTCTTCAGATATTTTCAGAGTGAGGCAGGCTAACTAATGAATTACTTGGGCTGAGTGTGAACCATAGGAAGTGGTGGGGACTGTGGCAAACGGTAGCCTAACCTAATGACTACAGCTGCACTTTAGTGCTGAGATTACCATCCCTGAGAATGCAGGGCCCACTACTTGGGAGGCAAAGGTGGGAGGTGAAGATCGCCTGAGCCCAGGAGTGCGAGGTTTTAGTGAGCTATGGTCACAGCCCTGCACTCCACCCAGAGCTGCAGAATGAGACCCTGTCTCCAAAATAAAGAAAATAATGCAGGGCTCAGCTAGATACTGTGATTTTAAATGAAAAGTCAGAGATACTGATTTTTATGTGGTATTTTACAATTTAAAATACTATGGGGTAAAACAAAATACATCTACAGGCTGGAGGCAAGTCATAGGCTTTTCACATGTGATCTGATCTAGACTGAAAAACAAATAAGGGGCTCATATAGCTGGCTGGTGCCACTCAGCCCTCTTCCTTTGCCAAAAGGGAACACAGGGGTGAGGAGAGGCAGAAGGAGACAGTGCTGAGCTCCCATGCTTCACAACAGCTGTCTGTCCACAGGGTGATGACCATGAAAAGGAAAGACGCTGAAAAAGGCAGAGATCAGCCCCTGCTCCAGGCCATCTGAAGAGGCCTTTGGCATCACCCCTTCCCACTGCCTCTTTAGCAGGTGTGTCGACGGGCTCATTGCAGACCCAGAGGCAGAATCACCATCAGGTTCTTGCCTGGGTCCAGAGCTCTGCAAAGCAGATATACTTCTATAGAAACAGTGTTGGTTTTGGTGAAGAGAGGTGGGAAACATGTGAAGTCAACATCTCTGATGACTGGTGGGCAGGACTGGGCGTTGCTCATTTCTAAGCTATAATTTACCTCAGGTGATATGGCCAGGCAGTAAAATAAGCTGACACCAGGAAGGAGCAAGCCAGACTCCCCCTAGTGTTCCTCTGGAGAAGCGTCAGTCAGGCAGCACCTTTATGTGCCAGCCTCTGTGCTACTTGTTGGAAAATAAACCAAGAAACACGGCATACAGTCTGGGCTCTAAAGAGCCCGTATTCAAGTTGCAGCAAGGAAGCATGGACACATTTTTACATTATGAAGACGAGGTAGGACCTGTGTACGGTGGTACTCCTGTGAATACAGATTCTATGTCCACCAGCGTACCTCAGGCACAGGGTAGGTAAGTTTGGAAAATACCTGTGTGGCAAGCAGAGGGCTGGCTAGAGCACCGCTTCTCTTTCCAGGGAGTGTCCTTGTCTGCTGGGGGAGTGGGCCCTGTGGGCTCCATTTACCCCTGGACTTGCCCCAAACCTCCAGGGTCCTCAAAGCAGGCATCATTTCCTGGGGGAATCCCCTGCTTTGAACTAGGTTTCTGGATGGCTGTACCCTCTATTCTGACATCTCCTAAAGCCCTCCTGGCAGTTCCAGCACATCCCTTATCTCTTTGAAGGAACCTTGAGGACCCTGTCCTCAATACCACACACCCATGTTTATCCTGATCTTTACCACAAGGGGTCTCTATTCCCTAACAGAGTGACTCTAGGTGCCATGGGGTCCCACACCCGGGAAGGCACACCCAGGGAGAGGGGCAGCAAGTATCCAAGATTTTACTTGTTCTGTGTTGCCATTCTTCTGGGAGGGCCAGAAACCCATCCTGCCACAGGGCATGGGCAGAGGGGTCTGTTTACAAAGGCTAAGGAGGCTTTGGGTTATATTTGTTGGTAAAGTCATTGAGTGAAGTGTTTCTGGGGGCCTGTGGTCAGGGAAGGAACAAGAAGAGCATTAGAAATATCCTGCTCTGCTCCCAGCTGCCAGGCATAGTCTTTCCTCAGAACAGTAGATACACAAACCTTTTAAAATGTTTTAAAAGGTGTAATGTATTATGATGACAATATAACATTTTATTTTCATATTTATTTTTCTTTTTTTTGAGACAGGGTCTTACTCTGTGGCCCGGGCTGGCATGCAGTAGTGTGAGTCCCGCCCACTGCAACCTGTGCCTCCTGGGTTCAAGCGATTCTTGTGCCTCAGCTTCCTGAGTAGCTAGGATTACAGGCGTGTGCCACCACATCTAGTTTTTTTATTTATTTACTTTTTTTTACAGTAGAGACAGGGTTTCTGCCATGTTGCCCAGGCTGGTCTCGAACTGCTGGCCTCAGGTGATCTGCCCTGCTCTGCCTCCCAAAGTGCTGGGGTAACAGTTGTGAGTCACTGCGCCTGGCCAACACTGCATTCTATATCCCTTTTTTCCCTCATAGTTTGTCAGTCTGGAGAATCTGTGCTCTACACCAAGTGGAGCCCAAACACCCTATTGTTACTTTTTAAAACCAGTCTTTGTAGAAAATCCCACTTCATGTGGGTGAAAGGCTGCATTAATACTGTTTTATGGTATTCAGCATATTCTGAGCAAAGTGAGAGAAGCTGAGAAAGATAAGGCTCCACATTTGAAGCCACGTCTCCTCCACTTCCCTCTGTGCAAAGTCAGGGATGCCAGGTAGGGACTAAGTTAGGCGGGGCTGAGGACATAGCCCTGAACTAAAGTGCTCCCAAGGAACCTTCAGCATTTATGAATCAGCCCTGCGCAGTTCATCCTCTGCTGAGAAGCCACCTGTCACACTGTCACAGACTGAAAGCAGAGGTCTGCCCTTTTTCATATCCTTACTCAACCTCTCCTTTTTCTTTCTTTTCTTTTAAACAGAGTCTTGCTGTCACCCAGGCTGGAGTACAATGGCATAATCTCGGCTCACTGCAACCTCTGCCTCCTGGGTTCAAGCGATGCTCCTGTCTCAGCCTTCTGAGTATCTGGGATTACAGGCACCTACCACCATGCCTGGCTAATTTTTGAATTTTTAGTAGAGACAGGGTTTCACCATGTTGGCCAGGCTGGTCTTGAACTCCTGATCTGAGGTGATCTGCCCACCTTAGCCTCCAAAAGTGCTAGGATTACAGGCGTGAGCCACCGCGCTTGGCCTTTTTCGTCTTTTTTCTCTTCTGTGGTTTTCTTTGTGTTTATCTTTTCCTTTTCCGTAGTTCATGCTTTCCTCTGTATCTTCATTAAATATCTTAATGAGGCAAATATCTTTCAGAGGCCAATCCTTCTCTGTTTCCCCTATAACACGATTTTTCCCTCCTCTTTAAGCTTCAGTCTAAATGGCTCTTATTGGAGAGGGAGCCCACAGGGCTTGTGGCTGTGACTTGTGCTGTCAGTGTATCACTGACAATGGTACATCCTGGGGTCAGGAAGGCTGGGGAACATCACTCTGTGTCAGTAAATAGTCTACAAGAGCAGATGACACAGCGTGGAGCCTGTGTGCTCAGGCTGTGGAGAAACCAAACTGTTCTGGGCCTGACTGTCACGTACCTGAGTTCTGTCTTGTGAATCTCAGCAATTTTCCTTTCCAGCTTCTCTGAATGTTTAGGGAAAAACTGGAACTTGGAGCTGTAGCCTTCAGGGTGTTTTCCTGAGTCATAATCCCCAATCTCCGCTTTCAAAAGGAGGGTGGAAAAAAACAATTGTGGAGACAGGTAAATCATCACTGACAAAGCAACAAGAGATTAGCACACAGAGCAAAAGCCAAAGCACACATTAGATTTATAAGAAACAGTGGATTCTGGGCACAGCTGTGAGCTGGGCAGAGGGCAGGCCCCTCAGGAGCATGTACACCTTTGTCTTCCCAGGTGGACACATTGGGTTGACATTCAGGTCTATGCAGAGAGACAGTAGAGCTGACCTTGTGTTCTGAGGTCACCACAAGTAAGTTTATGATGAAAGAGCAGAGGCCGGCACTATGGTCCTCATCCATTCTGCCATGAGAAGAGGGTCTGGGAGCAATGTTCTTTGTGGCAGCATAGAAAATGGTGAACTTGATTAGAAAGAGAGATCCTCTTGGGGCTCAGCCAGTTCAGAAGCCTAAATCCTGGTTTGAGGATTTTAGCAGGGACACAGTAAATTGATGAATGAACTGTGATCCAAATTCAGAACTCAACCCTCAGTCCAAACCAAATAAAATCAATAAATTTGAATAAATATTCATTAAGGGCTGACCAGATGCCAGGCCCTTCGAGAGGCCTGCAGAATGGGAAGCCTGGCTGTAACCAGAAAGTATTGTTGAGTTCAGAAGCGTCAAGTTCTAAGGCTCATTTCTCAAGTCCCTGCCAGGTGTGAGCGATTCTTCTCTGGCTATTCACAGAGAGAGTTCATCTCTAAACCTGATGAGATCTCTCAGCAGTAAACTTTAGGAGGGTAGAGGACCGGTGGTGCCTTCCACACCCAGGTCAGAATCCAGCTTTCTCCACGTGAAGCTCTCCATAGGGAGGATGGAGAGTATGACAAAATAAAGAGGAGGGGCCAGCTACGCTGTGGGTGCCCTCTTTCCTTCCCAGGTGAGAGCCACAACCACTTCAGATGTGAAGTCTTGAAGAAGGAGTAAATATTAAGAGGAAAACGTGACTTCTTCCCGTGGCTGAATATTGTACTTGTGGCTTGTACTTTTTCATTACAAACCTACTCACTGTGTCTTCCAAATTACCTGGGAATTTCTTTTCTTTTTTTTTTTTGAGACGACAACTTGCTCTGTCACCCAGGTTGGAGTGCAGTGGTACGATCTCAGCTTACTGCAACCTCCACCTCCCGGGTTCAAGTGATTCTTACGCCTCAGTCTCCCGAGTAGCTGGGACTACAGGTGTTTGCCACCAAACCTGGCTACTTTTTTTTGTATTTTTAGTAGAGACGGGATTTTACTATGTTGGTGAGGCTGGTCTCAAACACCTGACCTCGTGATCTGCCTGCTTCTTGGCCTACCAAAGTGCTGGGATTACAGGCGTGAGCCACTGCATCCAACCTACTTGGGAATTTCTACTGTTAGCAAGAGACCCAAGCCTGAAGTCTAGGGTGACTTTGAGCCTTGGAGTCTTGTTTTTTTTTTTTTTTGAGACAGAGTCTTGCCCTGTTGCCAGGCTGGAGTGCAGTGTTGTGAGCTTGGCTCACTGCAACCTCTGCCTCCCATGTTCAAGTGATTCTCCTGCCTCAGCTGGGACTAAGGCGTGTGTCACCATGCCCAGCTAATTTTTGAATTTGTAGTAGGGATGGGGCTTTACCATGTTGGTCAGGCTAGTCTTGAGCTCCTGACCTTAGGTGATACACCTGCCTTGGCCTCCCAAAGGGCTGGGATTACAGGCTTGAGCCACCACGCCCGGCCTAATTTTTAAATTTTTTGTAGAGACGGGGTTTCACTCTGTTGCCCAGACTGGTCTTGAACTCCTGGGCTCAAGTGATCTTCCAACCTCGGCCTTCCAAAGTGCTGGGATTATAGTTGTGAGCCACTGTGCCTGACCCAGGGTCTTTTATATTGATTATATTTAGAAAGTTCCAAGTGGAAAACAACAATATTGGACATCAAATACTTTTTTGAAGAAAAACGAATGATTGGGTAACACTGTAGAAAAGACTAGAGTATAAGACTTCACTTAGGTCAGGCCAGGCTTTCTCTGTGAAAACAAAATGGATACTCAGGACTTGGAGACCAGCCTGGGAAACGTGGTGAAACTCCATTGCTACAAAAAAATAAAAAATGTAGTTGGATGTGATGGTGTACACTTGTTGTTCCAGCTAGTTGGGAGGCTGAGGTGGGAAGATCGCTGAGCCCAGGAGGTGGAGGTTGCAGTGAGCCAAGATCACACCACTGCACTCTGGCCTAGGGAAAAGAGCCAGATCCTGTATGGAAAAAAAAAAAGAAAAATCAAAGGGGTATCTTTGGGTATCTTAAAATTAGTAAGTACCTGTTGGATTCCCCATGTAGGTGATTTTAAAAACAGGAGTCTTAGAAGTCAAAGTGGCAATGGGCTGACTTTTACATTCTTAACACAGGCAGCCAGCCATGATATTTCTATTGCCAGAACTTTAGTGTCTTATTCTTTAGTTTTATATTGGCAAGCACTTTCCAGGTTCTCTTCACAAAGTAGCCTCGGGGATTTCCAATTAAGAGTTCAAATTCTTTGGGGGAAACTTTATGATTTCAGTGCTATGGTCCAAAATGATCCACTAGTAATGGCAGTTTCAGGCCTTGGGACTAAGAAATCTCAGAAGCTGCACTTAAGTGTCTCAGCATCTCAGGAGAAGGGGACAGGTGTGAAGACTGCAGAAACATTTCCCAATGTTTTGCAGAAAAAGCCAATCTGGGCATCAGCTGGGTAAACCTAAACTCTTACTTATTAGCTTGTTAGGAAATATGCTTGTTACTTGGAAACATTTTCGACTTTGAGCACCCTGTACTAAAAGGTCTCTGAAATAGATATCAGAATTCTAATATGCTTCACATCTTGGAGATTTGCCTGAGAGGATGGGAAAAAAAAATCAATTCTGATTACTCTCTAGTGTCTTAGGGACTTTATCAACCAGGGGCCCAGGGCAAATCCCTAAAACAGAGTCAGAATGACTTTAAGGAGCTGGTAGTAATACCTTAGGCACAGTTTAGGGCTGAGTATTCAGTGTTATCTGACTCCAGGAAATCCAAGCAAAATCCTCTAACTTGGCTGGGTGTGGTAGCTCAGACCTGTAATCACAGCAGTTTGGGAGGCCAAGGCAGGTGGATCACCTGACGTCAGGGGTTAGAGACCAGCCTGGCCAACATGGTGAAACTCCATCTCTACTAAAAATACAAAAACAATTAGCCGAGTGTGGTGGTGTATATCCGTAGTGTGTACCTGCAACTACTCAGGAAGGTGAGACAGGATTAGCTTGAACCTGGGAGACGGAGACTGCAGTGAGCTGAGATTGAGCCACTGCACTCCAGACTAGGCAACAGACCGAGACTCTATCTCAAAACAAAACAAAATACAAAACACCCTCTAACTTGAACTCTGCTTCAAGTTAGATACTGTTTACTTATTTATTTATTTAGAGATGGAGTCTTGGCCTGTCACGCAGGCTGGAGTACAGTGGTGTGATCTCGGCTCATTGCAACCTCCATCTCCTGGATTCAAGCAATTCTTGCACCTCAGCCTCCTGAGCAGTTGGGATAAAAGGGATGCCCCACCACACTGCCTAACTTTTGAATTTTTAGTAGAGATAGGGTTTCACCATGTTGGCCAGGCTGGTCTTGAACTTCTGACCTCAGGTGGTCTACCCACCTCAGTCTCCCAAATTGCTGGGATTACAAGTGTGAGCCTCTGCACCTGGCCTAGATACTGTTTAGATTCAAGAAGTAGTCATCTGTGGTAACTGAAAATAATGTAATCAGTACTTGGCATGAAAAGCAAACTTATCCTGTCAAAACTCATTACCTTGAAGGATGTAAGCTGCTAACAAGGCAGCATCTGATGTTTTACAGAGGAGGCGGCCATGGTAGAGATCCCTTTTGATCTGTAGGAAGACTAAATACCTGGGGAGAAAACAGAATGAACAATAAAGGATTTCTTTGATTGCTTTAAAGATAGAAATATGTAATGTAAGCCTATCTAAATCTTTGTCAGGATACTTTAACTACATTAAAAAAATTCTTGAAACATAACGTAGAACAAATACATTCTCCATTTCCCTGTAGACTCTTTCAAGTACTTTGCCCTGAACTCACCTGAGGTTCAGTTCAAAATATGTCAGTTTCCTCCTGTAGCTCAAAACAGAAATGGCTGTTTCCTGGTAAAAGCCTCACCCCTCCAGTTCTGGGCTTTGGAAGGAGCCAGTCCCAGTCAATCTGGAGCCGAAAAAGAAAACTATGCCATCAGAGACTGGCAAACTGGGCCTCTTTCCACCTTGGGTGCTGGCTGATGTTCCTTCTTAAGTAGAATGGTGGGTGAAGGAACTAGCCCAGGAAGAGTTGTTTCAGCGTGCCAAGAGAATCTGTCCATATGTGGAAACAGCCTGCAGTTACTGAGGTTAACCAGACCTTTGAAATGGATTGAAGTGTAAGAAGAGTGAGCTGAGGTTGCACCACTGTACTCTAGCCTGGGCAACTGGTGAGAGAGATCCTGTCTCAAAAAAAAAAAAAAAAGGAAAAAGTGCAACGAGAGGCACTGCTGGTGAAGGAAGCATACAAATGAAGCAGAAACCTGGGGCCAGCATCTCTTTAAATATAGAAAGCTGTTGCCTCAGGTGGAAGCAGGATATCAAAAACAAGAGCAAACAGTAGCTGACATGTATTGAGAGCTTATGATCTGCTTCTCTTGCTGTTACACACTTTACATGCAACATCTTATTTAATTCTTACATAACACTTTGAGATAAGTACTATTATTATCCCTATTTTTTCCAGATAAAGAAGATGAGGCTTAGTGATTTTCTCATGGACATACAACTAAGTGGAAGAGCCAGGATTCAACTTTAGCACTGTGAGACCCTGAACTTCGCTCTTCATCACTATGATATTCTGCCCTCCTATAAATGCTCTGCAGTTTCACTAGGTGAATGGACCCTGTCACAGTGGAATGGAATTGATGACTTTCCATTTTGAAATGTCTTCACAAAGAGTGTGGTCTTTATTGCTCTTCTTAGAAGACCTGTGAGATTATGAGGAGCATCAATTTCTGGGTGGGATTGGGTGGGTCACCTACCATGGTAGCTCCTTGGCCAGGGAGCATCTGTGGTGATTTAAAAATATTTCTGGCAAGGCATGGTGGCTCATGCCTGTAATACCAGCACTTTGGGAGGCTGAGATGGGCAGATCACGATGTCAGAAGTTCAAGACCAGCCTGGCCAAAATGGTGAAACCCCGTTGCTACGAAAAATACAAAAATTAGCTGGGCATGGTGATGTGTGCCTGTAATCCCAGCTACTCAGGAGGCCAAGGCACGAGAATTGCTTGTATCAGGACCCAGGAGGTGGATGTTGCAGTGAGCCGAGATTGCGCCAATGCACCCTAGCCTGAGCAACGGGGCGAGACTCCACCTCAAAAAAAAAATACACACACACACACACACACACACACACACACACACACACACACACAGGCCCACATATAAAAATATTTCCACAAATTCTTTGATAATCCTAATTTCATGAGGTAGAGCATGATTCCTTCTCTTTGAGTGTGGCTTAGACTTGGTAACTCACTTCTATCAACAGAATTTATTCTATTGATAAGTGAGTATCTGACTTCTGAGGTCATAAAGTCACTGCAGCTTCCTCCTTGTTCTCTTGCCTTTAGATTACTCACTCTTCTTGAGGTTGCTTCAGCAGTATTATAGAAAGGTCCATGTGGTGAGGAGCTGGGGCCTTTGCCAACAGCCAGCAAGAAACTGAGGCTTCCAGCCAGCAGCCATTTGAGTGTCTCATGATGGAAATGAAGCCCCCAGCTCCAGTCAAGCCTGTGGATCACTGCAGCCTCAGCCAACCTCCTGACTGCAACCTCGTGATTTACCCTGAGCCAGAATCACCCAGCTAAGCTGCTCTTGAATTCCTAACCCATAGACACTCAGAGATAATAAAATGCTTGTCATTTTAACTTTTATGGTGCAGCATCCCTAGAAGAGTAATGAAAATATAGTAAAATTCCTTTAAATTCTACCACTCTGAACCAAAAAGAAATTGACCCCTCCCTGAAAAACTAGAGGTTTCCATTGTTCCTGTTTTCAGGCTGAAGAATAAAACAGATGATTCCATGTCCACCTGATCATGTAAAAATGCTCAAGAGGAAGATGGCTGTTTGTCAACAGCTTCTAGGAGGTGGTAGGAAGGGGTCCCAGCAGGTAACTCTGAGAGGCTTGGGTTTGGAGATTCAAGCAATTAACAAACAGAAATGAGGGAGCAACCAAGCCTTATTTTCTCCTCAGGCCTTGCTACTCAAAGTGTAGCCCACATATCAGGAGTATCAGCATCACTTGAGAGCTTATTGGAGATGAAGAATATAGGCCCATCCTACCCAGGTGATTTGTGTATAGATTAAAATTTAAGAAGCTGTCCTAAGAAAATTCAAAAGCAACCTTCTAACCACAGCAGATTGGACTGCCTTCCTCAGACCAAAGGGAGTCTTTTAGTCTGGAAGTTATTAAGAACCCAACCCCTCACTCCCACCAACCCTACTGCCCAAATGTTTGCCAAGAAACTAAAGGAAAAAAGACATCATGTAGAGTGAATAATTAAAATGGATCTACCAAATCAAGCTCGTCTTCACTCTGCTTCCCACAGCGAAATGCCACACGTTGTGTGGGAGAGAGTGAGCGAGCACTTCTCTGCCTCTCACTGTTCCAACTCCCACCTTCCATAGGCTTCAGCAGGATGTGGATGCAAACCTTTTGCCCCTTACTCACTGATCACTCCATGGGCCTGGATTCATGCATCACATCTTCCATGTTTCTCTGCTTGTCTGTGTCCAAAATTCAGGGACTGTACATACTGGACTAAAGAAAATACTGCAGAGGGATATCATGGCTCTGGCAGTGATTTTCAACATGGCAGAGAGGGGACCATCTTCCAGGGGGAGCCCGTCAGAATCCATATGTGTTGGATGTGCTCCTGTGCTTTGAAAAGGCCCCTTTGGGCCGAGCGTGGTGGCTCACACCTGAAATCCCAACACTTTGAGAGGTTGAGGTGGGTGGATCACCTGAGGTCAGGAGTTCAAGACCAGCCTGGCCCACATGGTAAAACCCTGTCTCTACTAAAAATACAAAAAAAAAAAAAAAAAAAAAAAAAAAAAAGCCAGGATGGTGGTACATGCCTGTAATTCCAACTACTTGGGAGGCAGAGGCAGGAGAATTGCTTAAACCCAGGAGGCAGAGGCTGCAGTGAGCCAAGATCATGCCACTGCACTCCAGCCTGGGTGACAAGAGCAAAACTGCATCTCAAAAAAAAAGAAAAAAAAAGAAAAAGGCCCCTTTAAAGTTTCTGGTTTGCTCCCCCATCCCCCCACCCAAGGGAACAGGATCCTACTAACTCACACTGAGAACCACTGTCTTTCCAAGGCATCATTATTGATGGCAGTTAACAGCCTCAGGTGAACTGGAATGGAAACAACTGGTCAGGATTCCTTTTGATTTCTGGTGATAAAACAGCTGCAGGGAGGTTAAAGGCAAGGCCATAAGGCATTCTCAGGCAATGTCATAGAACTAGATGGGAAGAGGGAAAAGGGTACACTAGTATCCTAAAGAAGCAAACCATAGTTGAGGACAAGAATAGATGAGCTCATGAAAGAATCAACTGAGCTTCAAGAGAGAGGAAGCTGCACTGGGGCCCCCCTCCCCTTTCTGCCGCAGTGGCTTCCATGGAGCTTTGTGTTTGGTTCATTTAAGGAGATAACCAGTGACTCAGTGTTGTTGGTGAAAATATATTCCACATGACTCATAGCATCCTTAGGCCCATTCGCAAGAGACCCTGGCATGTTCTCCCCTGACACACATGGGCCTAAGGAAGACAATCTTGTTGCCGGAGGTACTATCTCCAGGACCACTGTGTACTGCCAGGCAAGGGGTCAGCCTGCTGGGGCTGCCCAGTCCAGCCCTCCTGAATCTCTGAACCTCAGGACATTTCATAGCCAAGGAAACTGAAGTCCAGAGATGTAGAGTGACTTATCTGAGGTAACATAGCAATCAGAATCCAGGCCTTCTGACTCAGCCCAGTGCCTTTTCTACCCCCAGAGTAATTCAGTTAGTTATGAGGTTAGTCCTAATCCAAGTCAGGAGAACCCTCTGTTATTAGAGAGAAATTCTCACTGGGACAAAAGGAGAAAAGAGGCTTTACCTCACCTCCATTTTTGTTTTAATGCTAGTGTTGTCCTAAATTGATTGGAGTGTGAATCAGGACAGAATGAGCAAGAGCCTGAAAGACACCAAGGAAAACCTGAGCTTTTCTGTAACATGTATGTCTCTCCAGGGTACTAGCTTTAGCATAATGCTTTCTGAGGGTGGGAATGAATCCACAGTTATTTCCAGAGTTTAAGGCTGTGAACTCTTCAAAGCATTGGAGGCGCCTGTAGTTTTTTCCAGAAGATCCTTTGGCCTCACCTTCCCTTCAAATAGATTCTTTGCCACTGGCTTCCCCTATTTACTATTTCCTTTTTTCTGACTCTAATTATATTTAGTATGTCTTCCTCCCCCATATTAGATTGTAAGCTCCTTGAAGTCAGAGACTATGTTTTATTTACTTTTAATATTCTTCTAGGAAGCCTAAACATCCAGTGCCTAGCTCATCCATCCATCCATCCATCCATCCACTCCCCCACCCCTCCAACCCCCATCCATCATCCATCCATCCAGTTCTGACACTTAATATATGCCAGGCACTGTCACAGGTGCTGGGAATGCAGCAGGGAACAATCCAGTGTCCTGTTAATGGAGCTTACATTCCAATGGGGGAGATGACAAAATAGTAACAAAACAAAATAACAATAATGACTCACATTTACTGAATGCATGTTGTGTGCCCTGTTTCACATGCCCTTTTTCATTCACTCCCCCAAGTAGCTCTATGAGGTGATGACCATTTTATTCCTTGTTTAATGGATGAGGAGACTGAGTGCTTAGAGACACTGTTGCCTGCCCTGTCACAGAGCTAGTTAAAGAACAACCTGAATCCAGCTCTTTCTGATTTCTTAGCCCAGGGGTTGGCAAACTATAGTCTGCTGCCATAGTTTCCAATAAAATAAAATTTTATTGGAACACAGCCTTGCTCATTCATTTATGTATCGTCTATGGCTGCTTTCACACTACAATGACAGAATTGAGTAGTTGCAACAGAGAACATATGGCCCAAAAAGCCTAAAATACTATTTGGCCCTTTACAGAAAAAGTTTGCCAATCCATCTTAGCCTAAGCTAGGCTCAAGTGATGTTCACTGAAGGAATAAGTGACCTGATGACTCCATTCATTCATGTATGTACTGATTCATTCTATTAACATTTTCTGGAGCACCTGTTGTTTACAGACATTTTGCTTCCTTGGATGGTGGGGCCCATTTGCAGTCAGTTTTCTTCTCTTACTTGATCTTTCCAAAGAGTTCATACACCTGCAATCCCTGTTAAAAGCCAAATCTGGTACCTGATTCCCCATTTTCTTTGCCTTGTCTCTAGCCTTGACAAGAAAATCTATTTATTACTTTAAAAATGACAAAATAAATTAATCAGGATTTGGCAACTAAATTTATCATCTGGAAAGAAGCCAAGAGATAAAGTGAACCAAGTTTTGTACTCCCTACTTCATCCCCTTCTCTCAGCCTGGCTTTATGGGAATGGCTGAGACGGCAGTGAAATTTAGGACAAATATTGCCAGGAAAAAACACTGACAGCTAAATTAGTTTGGCAGCAAGATGGGATGGAGGGCTCTAAGCCAGGGATGAATTATGGGTGTTGAGTGAGGCTGGGTCCAGTATCTACTCTCTTAAGATCAGTAGGGATGTGAATGAGGAGAAAAATGCAGCTAATTCCACAGCCTCACAGAATGGTCCAGGGAGGGGGAGGCACAAAGACTGCAAAGCAGGCCCAGGCACCTGTGGTTCATACGCCTGACAATGCTAGAAAATTTCATACTAGGGAAAGAATGCTGCTGAGGTTGAGAGAGAGGGGAAAATGGCCCAAGACGGTTAGCACAAATTCATGCAGATGGAGAAGAGCTCATTTTCTTGCCAGTGTCCTTGAAGTCTGCTGACTTGGTGAGAGGCCTAGCCACGGTCCTAATGCTGCGCTTACCAGGACTTGGATGATTACCTGGCATAGCTTTCTCTCTCAGAACTCAGAATTTAGCTGCTTAAGTTTTAGGATTCTAGCTGGTGGGGAAAGGGGACAGAGGAAGAGTAGAGATTATTAGAAAAGAAGTGCTTTTCACATAAACAAGGGAGAAAAGCCAATACTAACTGTACTTGTGCCCCATGCAGAGCCCCAAGGGCCTCTGGACTGTGTAATGAATCTGGCAATGAAATATTGAGCCTTTGCTCAGTGCGAGGCTCACTGTGGGTGTATTAAGAAGTATGAGATGCTGGGATAGTGGTTAATCCTCCTGACAATTCTATGAGGTGGCTATTACTATGGCCATTTTATAAATGAGTAATCTAAGGTTAGAGAGGTTAAGTATCTTATTTCCAAGTTGTCACAGTCAACTTGTGACATAAGTAAGATCTCAGCTCCCAGGTCTATGCTGCTACTTGGGTAGGAAGGTCTGTCCATTCATATAAGATAGTGACACTGGATTCAGAAAATTGTATTTCTTTTTTTAGATGAAGTTTCACTCTCGTTGCCCAGGCTGGATTGCAATGGCGCGATCTTGGCTTACTGCAACCTCTGCCTCCCAGGTTCAAGCGATTCTCCTGTCTCAGTCTTCCGACTAGCTGGGATTATAGGCGCTTGCCACCCCGCCCAGATAATTTTTTTATTTTCAGTAAAGACAGGATTTCACTATGTTGGCCACACTGCTCTCGAACTCCTGACCTCGTGATCCACCCACTTTGGCCTCCCAAAGTGCTGGGATTAAAGGCGTGAGCCACTGTGCCTGGCTGAAAATTGTATTATTAAGAGTGACTCCTAAGGGCCAAGATAATCATGTATTTCTGGTACATGAATCCAATTGGGAAGTCATATATCTGTGGTGCTCTCACTGGCTGCTCTCTCTCATCCCCACTGTTGGTCCAGTGAGGCGGACAACAAAGACGTGCTGGGTTTGCTCTGATATGTGAGGAATATAGGGGTCTGCCCTCACACCAGTGTCTCTTTCAGCAGAGAGAAACTCAGAGCTAAGGCAAACACTCTGGAGATTTTGAGTGTGGCAGGCTAGTGATATTTTAACAAAACTCTTGAATTTTTTTTTGTTTTTTTTGAGACAGAATCTCGCTCTGTCACCCAGGCTGGCGAGTGCAGTGGCATGATCTTGGCTCACTTCAACTTCCACCTCGTGGGTTCAAGTTGATTTTCCTGCCTCAGCATCCTGAGTAGCTGAGATTACAGGCATGTGCCACCATGCTAGGCTAATTTTTATATTTTTGGTAGAGACGAGATTTCGCCAAGTTGGCCAGGCTGGTCTTGAACTTCTGACCTCATGTGATCCGCTCGCCTCAGCCTCCCAAAGTGTTGGGATTTCAGGCATGGGCCACTGTGCCAGGTCTGAAATTTTAAGCATAGTGGTTCTACCCTTACTCACCTATCTAAAGCCTTAGGGTCTCTATGATTTGGACGAATTTGGTTTTCTAAAGCAAAGCCAAGAGCCACCTGCACTTCTATATAGATGAGCAGAGCCTGCAGCTTCTATGCTCAGTAAGAGTCATGAGGTTTGGCTCTAGCTACACACCTCACTGTGTTCAGTGTTTCAGAATAGGTGGGTACGCACTGCCCAATGCATCTGCAGAAAACAATCCTTCCTTATCTTTCGGAATCCATCAGAAGATTTCCCTCAACTCCAACTGGGGCCCATGTGAAGAAATCACTTTTCTCCCCTGTCCCACTTCCTTATTGCCTTTGCACTACTAATTCCTGTTTCTTGCCCTCTCCTTCCCCCATTTTCTGGTTTCCCCTCTTAGAGAAACTTTTGCCCCTTTCACCTGGCATGCTCTTCAGATCAGGAAATGAAAATAATTCTGGCCAGGCACGGTGGCTCACGCCCGTAATCCCAGCACTTTGGGAGGCCAAAGTGGGTGGATCACGAGGTCAGGAGTTCGAGAGCAGTGTGGCCAACACGGTGAAACCCTGTCTTTACTGAAAATAAAAAAAATTGGCTGGGCATGGTGGTGAGCCCCTGTAATCCCAGCTACTCGGGAGGTTGAGGATGCAGTGAGCTGAGATCACACCGCTGCACTCCAGCCTGGGCAACAAGAGCAAAACTCCATCTCAGAAAAAGGAAAAGAAAAAGAAAATTATTCAATATTCTTTCCTTCTTGTTCCCTCCACTTTTTCTGTCTTTGGAATTTTCCCAAGCAGTTCAGGATCTAGGAGTGGATCTCAAATCCTCACAGGATAAATAGTCTACATGACTGGCAATATCCACATTCCCACCTTTGCGGTCTCCAAGGTCTTAGGGAAGGGTTTAGAGCTGGCAGTGCTGTCTCTTCCTCAGCTCTAGGATTCCCTGGCATCACATCCTCATCTGTGGTCCTGGCTTCTACAAGGTAACATCAAGGTTTTGCTTATGTCGAAATTAGGTCTTTCTAATATAAAAATTAGGGATCCCTGTGGTAGAGAGTTCTTAAATCTCTGAGGTGAGACTGGTCAGAGTGAATTTGGTTCAGATATACAAAATCCTGGGGAAGCTTTGAAGCCTTCACTCATTGACCCTCTTTTAGGATGGCTGGGGACACAGAGGTTCTTTCTCATCCTCAAGTGGTACTGGATGAGATAGGATGCATTCCATGCAGCTGTCTGCCTGCCACAGAACATGATCCCCACAAAAAAGAGTTTATCACGAACCTGATCCAACAGCATACCTGAGTTTACCCATTTTGATTTAAAACCTTCAGGATCTCCTAGCTGATCTTCCAATGCCATGCCTTGGCATTTTCCAAGTATATTCATTAGAACACTTGAGTCTATTTTCAACCCCCAAAATAAGCAGCAACACAGCCCTCTCCAAAAATGTCCACAGTGGCCATATCACAGGTAAAAGAAAAGATGCTTCTGATTGGTTAGTTACTCCAGATCCCTATGAGAGTGACCAGTTCAAGAAGCAATATTTGCACTTCTTGAAAAAAAGAAGTCCACTCTGTTCCAACTGCATTGGGGGGTAAGGAAAGAAAGCATGTAGAAATGAAATACAGAAGTCATTATATTTAGGAAGAGTTCCTTGCCTCTAAGAGTTAGGTGCGTCCAAATTAGAGGCTGTAAGAGCCTCCAAAAAGGTCCTAATGACTGCAGGAAGTGTGTTCACCTCACCTGGTTATTTCTTCTTTCAGAGCAGCAGGGTCTGCAGGATAAAATTTCACACGGAAGCACATGGTGAATGGAGGCTGGGCTGCAGAGAAAAAGAGGTGAACATCAGGGAAGGCCCTCTCCCAGAAGAGGACAGGGCTCTGCTTCCACTAGCATGCACAGGCCACTGAAGCACCAGAAGAAAACCCTCATATATTTAGGGCCAACTTATACACAAAACAGTGGAAAATTATATATGTAGACCAAGACTTGCGATAAGTGGGAGGTTCTATCCCGCCCTCCCCAGGGGTGTGGCTTGACTCTTCATGGAGAATACTTACATCTCAATTGTTTCACCACAGACTTTGTAAATTCCAGCCAATGCTGAAACAGAGAACACAGAATATGAAAAACCTAATGAGAAGGGCTGTAAAATATAACTTGTTTTCGCTAAGTTAAAAAAACTAGACAGATTGCAGCCTAGGGTGAAAGCAGCCCAAAAGCTTGTGCAAGATAAGTCTGGAGAGTGAAGAGTGATATGATTTTCTGAAATGAGCTGCCATGGAACCAGCCGTGAAAGAGGGAAGTAGTTCCAGCTTCAGATGCCATTTAGGTGCTTCCCTGGAAATGCTATCTTCTAGAGCAGGGTGCCAAACTTCAGAGCCACGTTTCTGGCATGCGATTAGGCACAGGCAACTGCATGTATGTGTGGTGGCGACAGAGCCCCACCTGGGTTGCGTCGGGAAATACTGACTTTAATGAGTGGTGTGTGTTTGTGTTATGCACCAGCTTTTTTTTTTTTTCCTTGGCAGGGTAGTGGGGATAGAGGATATTGGTAGCAACTCTAGAAAGTAGTGAGAAGTAGAAATTTCCTAAGTCAGGGATGGCTGCTATATATTCCATCTTTCTTTGAGTAATATAGATTGCCAACCCTTGTGTTAGAAAACACATACTCAGGATTCCTTGGCATCCAGCGATGTTTAAAGTCTAAATCTCAAATGATAACTAACCACAACCAACCTGTAGGATAGTACCCTCTTCCCCTTGGATTTACAAAGAGGCAGGACATAGAGGTAATATACATTTTCCCATGGTACTTACATTTGGGGGAAGCAATGAAACCATTCTAAATGTGTTTATTAATTCTACATGGGTCCTTTATAAAATTTATTATTGATGTTTGTTACTTTTAGCTAATCAGGATTAGGTAGGACTGCTATTAACTGGGGTTTGATTATCTGGAGATAGCTTAACATTGCCAGATGTAAGCTCTATGAGGACCCAAAACTGTCAGTCTTGTTTACCACTGCATCACCAGTGCCTAGCACAGTGTTCAATAGGTAGCTGCTGAATGGCAAAGGGACTGGGCCCATAATTCCTTCTTTTCTGGCTACTTCCACTTAGTATGATGTCTTCACTGAGTCCTCCCTCTGGTAGGAGAGCAGCCAGGGCCCTGCAGTCAGCATCCTGGCCTCCCTTAATTCCCAGTGATCACCTTCTGGGCTGGGCCATGGGTCATGCAGTTAATGGACCCACTAAGAGCCAGTTCTTCCGTTAGCTCCACATGGATAATCTGGGCTGACATTCTGCTCTCCTGCTTTGGCTGATCTGAGTTCCCACGAGGCTGGCAACTCATTATAGCCACTCAATGTGGTTAAGAGGTCCTTCTCACATTACACGGCCCACCGCAGCTCTGCTTCACAGGGAAGCAAAGGCAAGAGATGAAATTGCTCAGAAACAACTGGGGTTCTAGGCTGTGCCTGTGAAGAGGGAGGAGGCCCATCTGTTCACAGCACACTGGAATTGTGGATAGTAAGGGGAAGATAGCCAGTACCAGGGACCCCGTGCACAGAACAGCAACAGCCCTAGACATTAGACTGATAGTTTAAAAGAAATAAACAAAGGAGGTAGAAATTAATGACTGTGAGTTGCATTATCAGCAGAGGGCAGATAAAGCTGAATGACAAAAAGGCGATTCCCCTTGACAATAGTTGGAGAGAAGATTTTAGTTTTATTGTAGTGAGAGATCAAGAAAGGACTGATGTTGGAGGAGAGTAGCAAGGGGTGAGAAGGGACTGGAGAGCTGTCACAGCTGATCCATGAAATTTGGAGGCCAGCAGAGAAATCTTGAGAGGAACCCAAGAATACAGTGATGGCCAGAGTTGCCTTTTGCAGCTGCCTGGCCAAAGTGGCCCCAGATTCACTGGCAAACAAACAACATGGGCTTGGGAGAAGGGATCAGGAGAAGAGGAAAAGAAGATTCACAGAGGCTGATTGTGGAGGCTTAGACCTGTAATCCCAGCACTTTGGGAGGCTGAGGTAGATGGATCACCTGTCAGGGGTTCGAAACCAGCTTGACTAAAATGGAGAACCCCCATTTCTACTAAAAATACAAAAAAAAAGTTAGCCAGGCATGGTGGTGCGCACCTGTAATCCCAGCTACTAGGGAGGCTGAGGCAGGAGAATCGCTTGAATCTGGGAGTCAGAGGTTGCAGTGAGCCAAGATGGTGCCATTGCACTTCAGCGTGGGCAACAAGAGTGAAACTCTGTCTCAAAAAAAAAAGAAGAGAGAAGGGTTCCCTCCTCTGATTGGGTGAATGGGCCAATGTGCCAAAGTGGCACAATCTTCAGACTCTAGGGGCTTGAAAGGGTATAAAGGAGAGGCTGAGAGAAGGTGGAGGCCCTAGGCCTGAGTCAGGAATTCTAAGGAAGGAGAGTGAGGGCAGCTCCTCTGGGAGAGACCAGGAGAGCTCCCAGATGTATGGGAGGCTCCTGCAGAGCAAGCAGTAACATGGGGTTGCATATGAGTGCTGGGTTCAGACTGTCTCGTGACCCAGGGAAGGAGGTTTATGTTAGGGCCTTACACCCTGATGGAGCAAGGGAGCTCACCTCCTCCATCCCTCCCATGAATGAGTGGACCAAGGACAACTCTTTACAGGTCCCCAGTTCCCTACAACTCTCAGACACTCTCTCAAGCCTCTCTGCTCTCCTTAACCTCTCCCACAAGGCACAGAGTTAAACAACTTTCAGAAGCTATCAGTTATACATTCAGCATGGAATCTCAGAAACCACACTGGCCCTAGAGTCAGGCAGGTCTTAGCTCGAGGCTGGCTTTGCCACTTACCTTGGGCAAGTTACTTAACTTGTCTGATATTTTATTTACTCATCTGGAGAACAGATATTATAATTAGGGATACTCATCTCATTTCATTAAGGATGAGATGGAATAACATACACGAAGCTCTTAGCTTAGTGCCTGGCAGAACTCAGTAAGCAGTACACATCAACTGGAAGAATTAGGTTTGTGAGCAGCGCAGAGCCTGGCAAGCAGTAAGAACTCTATAAATGTTTGTTTCTCCTCTTTCCCATGTTCTTATCTCTCTCTAGCTCCTTCTCATTTTAACCTTGACCACATCCACATATTCTCTTATTCTCCTCAAGCACATTCTGACCTAACTAAAAAACCAATGAACATGATACAATTTGCCTTTTTTTCTTCATATACCACCACTCTAGGAGATAAACAGATCTTGAAGTAACTGGCCCTCCCCCACTTTAAAAAAAAAAAAAAAGACAGAGTCTTGCTTTGTTTCCCAGGCTGGAGTGCAGTGGTGCAATCTTGGCTCACTGCAACCTCTGCCTCCTGGTTTCAAGTGATTCTCGTGTCTCAGCCTCCCAAGTAGCTGGGACTACAGGCATGTGCCTCCATGCCCAGCTAATTTTTGTATTTTTAGTGGAGATGGTGTTTTGCCATGTTGCCCAGGCTGGTCATGAACTCCTAGGCTGAAACAATTCACCTGCCTTAGCCTCCCAAAGAGCTGGGATTACAGGCATAAGCCACTACACACAACCAGCCTTCCTTTTTAAGGATAAAAGTTTGGACCAAACAAAGAAACGCCATTTGTAAAAATAGTCCATCATTACCTCTCCACTTTAGTGGGGATACCAGAGAGTCCATCTCCACAAAGAGCAAAGGGTAGATGAAGGTAAGTTATAGAAACCGCAGGTGTGTGCAAGCTGGGAGGCTGGGCAAATGGATGTAAGAAACATAGCACTATAAGCCATTAACTCATGCATTCATTTCTTCAGAAAATATTTCTTTTTCTTCTTCAGAAAATATTTATGGAATACCAACTACATTGTAGGCCTGTCTAGTTACCTGAGAGACAGTGATGAATGAGATGAAGTCCAGGCCCTCATGGAACATATATTTTTGCAGGGAACACAGGTAATCACAGCATGATGTAGTAAGTGCTATAACAAGGGTAGCAGAGGGCACATGGGGGCCAAAAGGAGGATTACTAACATAGAGTGGGCTTAGAGAAGACTTCCTAGAGGAAGTAAAAGTCTAAGCTAAGACCTTAAGTGTAAAAAGGAGTTAGCTGGAAGAAGGATGTGGAATGTGCAGCAGTGAGGAAAAGGGAATATTCTAGGCGAGGGAACTCTATAGGTGAAGGCTCTGTAAAGAAAGAAGGTATGATGTATCTGGAGAGCAAAAGTACTACTATCTGGGTGGACCACAACAGGGAGAAGACAGGTCAGGGGAAATGAAGCTGGAGAAATCAGCAGGGGCCTGAGATAATGGCTTGTTCCCATATCTGTCTGGAATATCAGAATCCTGTCTATCAGAACGCTGTGTGTCTGTAGAGCTGCCTACGCTGTGTAGAGCAGAGCAAGAACTATAAGATCTGCAAGGTGCTGAAGGGCCTGTGATGGTTTGGTTCTGTCTCTGTTCTGCCTAGATTGGGTTGGTATGGCACCTTTGGTGAGGCCTTTCCTAACCAGAACAATGTGGCTCAGCCCACTTACTAGAAAGCGGGCAGGAGAGGATTACCCTGTGACCTGGGCTCTGAGGCCACAACCCCAGTCCAGCTGCTCTGCCTCCAACTTTGTGAAAATCACTTAAGCTCCCTAGCCTGCCATTTCAGAAACTGTAAAATGACAAGCTTCTCCAGGTGAGCTCTAGCCAAGGTGCCTTCCAGGTCTAATGCTGTCATTTGAAGAGACAACATCCAATTACAGGGTCTGACTGGAATTGGGGACCTTTGAATTCTTCTGGAATCAGGGACCTTTGAATATGAATAACAAGACCTCAGGATTACTGACTAGCCCTGTCCACCTTTTGTGCTTTGAATATTGACTTACCCGCTGCTTATCTGGGTCTACAAAGCGTATCCCAAAATAGTCTTTCTCAAGTAGGTTCAGATGGTGGCAAAGAAGGTCGAACAGGTACTGGCCTTTGGCATCTCTCTGCAAAGAAAGCAAGCTCCATTGAGGAATGAGTGGGCTTTTTCGGTTTAATTTTTTTTTTTTAATAGCCGTTAAAAGTTGTTTGTAACTCTTGCCTACGAAAGGGGTAAATGTCCATAACTAAGTCTTCCACATTGTGATACATAATTGTCTGGAATCCAGAGGCTTTTAGCACCTGGAAGGAGTCCAAGAACCCTCCCTACCACAAAGATGTCAGAGAAGTCAGGTTAGAGGCTGGTAAGCCCAGTTCCCATCTCAAATGCATAAAACTTTCTTAAACTGTAGACATAGGGAATATCAGTGTGGAATACAGCAATAATTACACCAGGCCCAGGTGGCTGAGCCTTTGAAGTAAATCTTGAATCCACCAACTTCCCCCTCTCCATTACCAACACCATAGGTCAAGCTACCACCATCCCTCAACAGGACCACTGCCAGTCTTCTAACTGATCCTCTACCTCTGCTCTTGCCCTCTTTAGTGCATTCTCTGCACAGCAATGAGGGTATCCACAGTTTAGACATCATCTCTTTCTTGCTGAATAAGTGATCAGGCACATAGTACGATATTTAAACATACAAAAAGATACACTATGAACACAAAGTCTCCCTTCCACCCTAGCCACCCTGTGCCCCAGTTCTTCTGCCCAGAAGCAACCATTATCACCTTCTTGAATATCTATTTTTTTGTTTTGTTTTTGAGATGGAGTCTCATTCTGTCACCCCGGCTGGAGTGCAGTAGCACAGTCTCGGCTCACTGAAACCTCTGCCTCCTGGGTTCAAGCGAGTCTCCTGCCTCAGCCTCCCAAGTAGCTGGGATTATAGGCATGCACCACCACACCCAGCTAATTTTTGTATTTTTAGTAGAGACGTGGTTTTGCCATGCTGGCCAGGCTGGTCTCTAACTCCTGACCTCAGGTGATCCGCCGCCTCAGCCTCCCAAAATGTTGGGATTACAGGCATGAGTCACCATGCCCAGCCCTTTTGTATATCCTTTATGTGGTGTTTTAAACACAGGCAAAGCTACATACATATACATCTCCCCTTTTAAAAATACATTTTGTAACAATTTTAAACTCTTTTTTTTCTCCCACATAGGGTATCTTGCGAATCCTTCTATGGCAATATATATAGATATATCTCACAGTTTTTAACTTCTGCATGTCACTGCAATGAACCTAAAATTATTTACCCAGTTCCATATTGATGAAATGTGTTTCTAATTTGCTATTACAAACAATACGGCAGTAAACATACAATGATCTTTATGTTACTCACTTGTCTTAATACTTGTTGCTCTCAGAATAAAATGAAAACTCTGATCATGGCCTCGCAGGCCCTATATAGCCTGACTCCTGACTTCTCTCTGCACTCATCCCAAATCATTCTCCTTACTATACTCCTGCCATGGCCTTTCTGTTCTGGACTCCCCAAGGCTTTTCTGCCTCTCTGCCTTTGTATTTCCTCTGCTGGGAATGCTCTTCCTACAGCTCTTTCCAGTCACTCCTATTTTTTGAGGAGTCAGCTCAAATCTCCCCTCTTCAGAGAGGCCTTTCCCTGTAGTATAGCTCTTCCCAGTTACTTTCCATCTCATTTTACCGTTTATGTCCTTCGCAGCACTTACATCAATCCGTAATTACCTTGTTGATTTGTTTAGTTATTTATTTACTGTCTGCTTCCTTTCTACACTGTAATTTTCATGAGGTCAGAAGCCCCAGAACTTAGCACAGGACCTGATGCATGGCAGGCAGGTCCTCAATAGTAATTTGTTGAATAAATTACTGAACGAATAGAAGGAAAAAGGTTGGCTAAAAGGTTTCACAAAATGGTGAAAAGCTAGGCTGTTTATAACCCCATAACCTTCTACTTCAGGGACCTGCCTGGGTGCCAAGGATGAAGTGGGAGGAGAATGACTTACAGGAAACGGTCAAAACATCTGGAGACTGCACAGCATCCCTCGCTGGGCCTGTCCTCTGCAGCTTAATTCAGATCACCATCTCTGGCGGGTCCATGTCTAATTGTGCATACAAATTGAGGTTGTACGAGGAATTTCTGTGGTGTGGTGGTTGTCCCGTTTGCCTCACAAATTGAGGTTTGATAAGACCCAAAGATCTCTCCTGTGCCAAGGCCCAAGACCATGGGTAATTACAGAATGGCCTGGCCCTGCCGCAAGAACGAGCATATTTTTAAGACCTTCACAAAAAGTTTACACCTCACCTCTTCCCCTTCTGCTAGCTCATCCCATAACACCCAAGGAGAGCTAGGGCAGGATGCTTATCTCACGGCAGTTATGTTAAGAAGTTTATCCTTGCAAGAGCTGGAAGAATGGATGAGTAGACAGTTCAACTACAGGAGGCAACGTGGGCAACACCCCTCCTCTTCTGAGACAGGAATAATACAGGGTGGTCACAGGAAAGTAAAAATTCCAGACAGCAGTTTCACATGACTAGAGGCTATGGGCTGACAAGACCCTGAAAAACAGGGCATGGACCAAGCTAGCTAAGACCTACTGAACCCAGCATGCAGCTGGATTTGACCTAGGTTTCTCCTAGGACCTCATTATAAACTCATTAACATACTAGATCACACACCTACCAGCACCATTACTGTTCAAAGACCACCCATATTTGCTTTAAAAATAGGTACCACTGCAGTTATGAGAAATCTCTACCTTTTTGCAAGAATTTGCATGAATATTCCACCCCTTGGTTAAAGAAACATATAAAGATAGAAACCCCAAAGCCCACTGTGCAACTCTCTCTCTCAAGTATGCCTGCACTCCCTTTTCTTGAATGTATACTCTTCTCTTTGCAATAAATCTCTGTACTTTTACTATTTTCTGACTCTTCCTTGAATTCCTTGACAGAATTCTTATCTTCTTAATGGTATAAAGAGCCTGGGCACCAGCTGGGGTGGAGGTCCCCCCCAGCCTACTGATATCACTTCTGCTGGCCTCGCACTCCCTGTCACAACATAAGCCTGAACTCACAGGCCCTATTCCCCCATCTTTGGTCTTTCACAGGAAAGAGTGACTCTCAGGACAGAGACTCATTATGAATCATGCTAGGACTTCTGGGTGGTGGGCCACAAACCAGGTCTTTCAAAGGACTCCATCACAACTTTCTTTGTGCAGGGCCTGTTAACTACTTCTTTACTGATGCTCAGAGAGTGAGAAGAGCTTAAACAGGTATTTCAGGTTCTCTGGGAGCAGAGGAAACATGTTCAACTCTATCCCATGCAGGATATCCTACACTCAGAGCAACTGAAATGGAAGAGTGACAGACAGTAGCATATTTTCATTGGTTTTATCTACAAATTTTACTTTGCATCAAGCTGGCTATTACACTGTGATCAGCTGTTGTGAGGTTTTGGTTTTTTTTTTTAATGAAAAAGTGTTTTTCACAAACACTACTACAATATGATGTGTGTTTTAAGGGCTGAAGAAGTTTGCTTCCATATATACAACAACCAGATTAGCAACTAATTAAATAGAGGGAAAACATGCTTCTGTGATGGAGATCAAACGGACTTTTAATAAGAATCCTGCCTTCCATAAAACTACTCAATCTCATGGGCTGGGAGCTCAGATGCACTTGTAAGCGTCTTAGCTGGTAAGAACCCTGAACTAAGTAAATCCAACTTCTTATTTCTTCCACTTCACAGGAAGAAAAAGGAAGCATGGCTTTTCTCTTGGAGTAGTTAGGAAATAAGGACATATCCCATTACCCATTCCCTATAGCTACATTAAAAAAGACCTTTTTCTGGTTATTTCTCAGTACCTGGTAAATACCCCTGCACCCGCACCATGAACTCATAGTTCCCTCAAGTTACCATTTACCAGTTACCAGTGGTAGATACACTGTTTTGAGCTACAGGACTCTTGCACAGACTAATGAAGAGAAGCATCTTCCTTTGCTATTTCTTCAAGGCTGGGTTGGGGGTAAGGGGAATGAGGAAAGAGGTAGACACAGACTTCCTTCTTGCAGCAGAATTCCACAAAACTTAAATCCTTAGCAGATATGCAAAGGTAGAATCAACTTAGAATGCTGCTGCTGCAGAGGCACCTTTCACAGAGGGTTGAGACAAAGCCCTTCCTTTGAGGTACTCACACCTATGGCTGTTGGAGTGGCCTGAGGCAGCACTGGGTGAAGTCACATGCAGCTAAACCATCATGATGGGCTCCCTACAAGCCAATGGCAGGGGCAAGATTTCAGAAATTTTACAACTTCCTGGGCTTGTGTGTCCCCTTGCACTGCCTGGTGTCAGCTGTGTCCTGGAATACCCTCTCTATAGTCTCCCAGTCCTAAGTCCAGGGGTTTCTGGAATATTCCGTGGCAGCCAGTCTTGTCTTTTGATGGCATGGCAAAGCCATCTTCCCCTCCCTTTGCCTGCAGTTGCCCTAGCATTGTGGCTAAACTGAGTGTTGTGCATTGAATGTCGTGCCATTGATTATACTGGAGAAACAGGCACTTGCGCTGACAGGAGATTACTGTTTAGTCACAAAGTCAGAGCTCCAAGCCTGAGGACGTTTATCTTCAGACAAGTGAGCGGAAGCAGAGCACCAAAATCCTCACTCTGCAGCTAAGCTCGTGAGGTTATTCTCTTTCCAAAGACATTATTGGGTCAGAATAACTTATTAAGCACTCATTTAAAAAATAAATTTATGGGCCGGGCGCGGTGGCTCAAGCCTGTAATCCCAGCACTTTGGGAGGCCGAGGCGGGTGGATCACGAGGTCAAGAGATCGAGACCATCCTGGTCAACATGGTGAAACCCCGTCTCTACTAAAACTACAAAAAATTAGCTGGGCATGGTGGCGCGTGCCTGTAATCCCAGCTACTCAGGAGGCTGAGGCAGGAGAATTGCCTGAACCCAGGAGGCGGAGGTTGCGGTGAGCCGAGATCGCGCCATTGCCCTCCAGCCTGGGTAACAAGAGCGAAACTCCGTCTCAAAAAAAAAAAAAAAAAAATAAAAAAAAAAATTAATTTATAATTTATGAACCACA